AAGTTAAATAAAAATAGGTCGCAGTGGTGGATGGGTAGTGGCGATCCCGGCGATGGGGAGAAGTGCATTATACCCCCTAAGACAAAGATCGACAGTTCAGTGAGGGTAGGGTGGCCAAAGTTTGAACCAGGGAAAGGAGTTTTGCGTCATAATAACGCAATTATTCTTTAAACTACTTAAAAAAAAAAAGCATTAATCATTATTTGATCTATTACACGACAAAAACCTCTAAACGCCACTCACGGGATTTATCGCAGAATACTAAAAAATCATAGTAATTTACTTACTGCACTCACACCATGTATTTCCCGCAAAATATCTACGAGCAGCGCTCTGCCCTTATTGCCGGAACCCTTCCGTCAACATTCTATGAAGAAGGTTTCGGCGGAGCAGAGCGCACTATCACACATTGGAGGGCAAAATTCGTGAAAAAAGATTGGCCACAGCAGCGTGGTCGCATTCAGCAAGGACGAGAAGATGCCTGCTGTCCGGTAAATTAGCGCACACATAACTCATCCTGACCCTGTACACTATAAAAAAGACGAAGTAAATCACGTTGAAAGGAGAGGGAACAAGCAGCTGAACCACGGAAACCGAAATTACAGAAAATGAGCGCAAAATCCAGTAGAAGAGATTTTATTTTGATTTTAAAATCTTTTATCTTCGTTATATTTTATTTTGACTTTACAGGTACATTCTCGTCAAATCAACGTATATAATGGTGGAGGTAACTCACGCATGTCTGGGCCTCGCGTACGAGAGGGGAAAAGTTTTGGCGGGAAAACTGATAACTCGGGAACGAGAAAAGATAGGAAGCTGAAACTATGGGAATATGTGCCCATACCATGCGCGACCATCCCATTTTAATATCACCCCCTTTTTATAAAAAGCTTTTTCAACCTTGGATTTTTCATTTTTCGATTTTCAATTTTTAACTTTCATTTTCCACTTCACTTTCCATTTCAGCACATTGCACATTACCTATACTTCCGCTACAACCTTTACACTGACGAGGTCCAGCTGCAGCACTGAATAGGAATGTATGAGACTTGATGGACCGAAACATTCCCATTCAGATTTTAATCTTAACTTATTCACATTTCCATTTTTATCTTTTAACAATCCTTCATAATTATAAACCAACAAAATTTCAATTTAAATGCAGAATTCGACTGTATAGGCAAAAAAACCCTACGTAAACGACGTGAAATTTTATCAAGCAAACAAAGAAATTTTATCAAATTCTGCCGGGAAAGTTACTTAATTACTCGTTTCGATGGTAAATTGGTACTGGCACATGTTAGGGGTAGTTGAACCCGCTGCCATCAGCTTGCTTATAAGCAACTTTCGAAAGAGGGAGCCATCGACAGCCTTGACAGCAAGTGCTTTGTGCTGGCAATCAGGCAACACCCGAATGTTCACAACAAGGGGGAAAAGATGGGTAAAACTGCGCTAAAAATAAAAAAATCCACACAAACCTTACTGCGCCTTCATTGAAAGTAAATTGGAGAGGAATTGACGAAATGAAATTTGAAACACTCAAAAAAGCGCCACTTGGTGGGGCCGTGCCTTGAAGTACTTCGTGTGCAAACACTGCTTGGGGCCGTGCCGGAAAGTGCATCTTTTTTAAGGCAAGAATCCATGAGGCCGTGCCGAAAGATGAGGGGTTTCCATGCAGTTGGGTTCGGACGTGTAGTGGTTT